GGGTTAGGTTCAGGGCTTGTTCGGGATCAGGTGTAAGGGCTCTGAGGCAGCCAGGTTTGGTCCGACTGCAAGGCTTCGGGGTTAGTTTGGTCTCAGGCTTAGGGGCTCCGAGGCTGTGAGGTAGTGTCTGTCTGCGCGCCCTGCCTTTGCCTTACCCCCTCACCCCCTTGACCCTCAGGTTTTTGACTTCCTCGACTTCGATTGGTGCGCGCGCTCAGTGTGAATGCAAGTGAGTGCGCCGGGTTATATAGGTTCAGGGTTTGTTCGGGATCAGGTGTAAGGGCTCTGAGGCAGCCAGGTTTGGTCCGACTGCAGGTGAGTGCGCCGGGTTAGGCTCAGGGTTTGTGCGGGATCAGGTCTCAGGGCTCTGCGAGGATTGTCGATTGCATCAGTCGAGCAAAGACAGCCTCCGAGAGATCTGTTGCTCGAGCGAGCCAGGGCGTCGTCTTGCTTCTGCCGAGCATGGCATCCTCCACGTCATCTTGTTTGATGACAGCCGCTGAGAAGGCTTCTTTGCTACGAATGCTTTTCGGTCTCTGCAAGCGAGCCATCCGCGGAAAGGGCGACAGGTTGACCTTCGACCCAGATGAGGAGGAGATCTGCGCCCACTGCAAGCAGGAGATGATCGAGTACATCCAGACGCTCAGCGCAGAGGACATCGAGGGGTTGCAANNAGGCATCGGACCGCAGCAAGGCCGCGGCGCAGGCATCGGACCGCAGCTCAGGCGATGCACCGGCCAAGCGAGCGCGACGTGGATGAGCGGCCGACGCTGCTGGTCGACGCTCCGAGCGGGCAAGCGAGGGTGGCAGGTCCCTGCCTTGCACAAATTTCGAGGCCTGGAAGGCAGCTGTGCAACGGACAAAGCGGGCTCGGGCATCTTATCTAGTGGCTGCTTTGACCCTGCTGCTTGTTGCTTTCGGCAGCTTCACGGTATCGAGCTCCGGTCTTCGCATTAAAATGGAGCGTTGGCCAGCGTTCGTTCGGGATAGGAGCGCATGCGCGAGCCTTTGCCTGCCTCGCCCTGTGTAGCTAGAGTGCCTTG